ATAATATTAATATATATACTATATATATTATATATATATAGTGGCTATATATATATATAATATATAGTGGTTATCCTAATGAACATAAAGTGATCTCTCGTTGTGGTTTTAATTTACTTTTCCCTAATTTTTACTGATACTGAGCATCTTTTCACATACTTTTCGTCATTTGTGTATCTTCTTTGGAGAAATGTCTGCTCAAGTCCCTTGCCCATTTTTAAAATAGGTTATTAGTGTTTTGTTGTTGTTGTTCAGTTATGAGAGTTCTTTACACATTCTGGATATTAACCCTTTATCAGAAATATGGTTTGCAAACATTTTCTCCCATTCCATAGGTTGCCTTTTCATGCTGTTGATTGTTTCCTTTGCTGCGCACGTGTTTAGCTTTGAGGTAGTATCATTTGTCTGTTTTTGCTGTCGTTGCCACGCATGCTTTTGGTGTCATAACCAAGAAATCACTGCCAAATCCAATGTTATGAACTTTCCCCTATGTTTTCTTCTAGTAGTTTTACGGTTTCAGGTCTTACATTCTAGGTCTTTAATCTGTTTTGGATTCATTTTTGTAGATGTTGTAAGTTAAGGGTCCTTCTTCTTCTTCTCCGCCTCTCCCCCTTCCCTTCCTCCTCCCCCGCCCTTCCCTCTCCTTCTCCTTCTTCTTTTCTTCTTTTTTGGCAGGTAGCTATCCAAGTTTTCCCAACACCATTTGTTGAAAAGACTGTCCTTTTCTTATTGTGTACATTGGCACCTTTGCATATGGTCTCCAGAGTTGTTCAAGTCCTCTATTTCCTTACTGATCTTCTGTCTGGTGACTTACCCCTAACTGAAAGTGGGCATTGAAATCTCCAACTATTATTGTGTTACTATTTATTTCGCCCTTCAATTCTGTCGATGTGTGTTTCACGTATTTGGCTACTCTGCTGTTAACTGCACAAATGTTTATAATTGTTCTATCTCCTTGGTGAATTGACCCTTTAACATACCGTTTGAATATACATTATATAATGTCCTTCTTTGTTTCTTATGATAGCTGACTTGAAGTCTATTATGTCTGATATAAGTCTGATATGGCAACCTCTTCTACCTTTTGGTTACCATTTGCATGGAATATCTTTTTCCACCTTTTGACTTTCAACTGTATCTGTCCTCATATTAGAAGTGTCTCTTGTAGGGGCGCCTGGGTGGCGCAGTCGGTTAAGCGTCCGACTTCAGCCAGGTCACGATCTCGCGGTCCGTGAGTTCGAGCTCCGCGTCAGGCTCTGGGCTGATGGCTCGGAGCTTGGAGCCTGTTTCCGATGCTGTATCTCCCTCTCTCTCTGCCCCTCCCCCGTTCATGCTCTGTTTCTCTCTGTCCCAAAAATAAAATAAAAAACGTTGAAAAAAAAAAGAAGTGTCTCTTGTAGACAGCATGTCATTGGATTTTATATA